AGTGCTCACGCGGCTGCGTGCTTCCTTCTTGACACTTAGTCCCAGGCTCCTGGGACACCACGCTTTCCTGGGTCCCCTCGAACTTTACTAGCCAACCTTCACAGCCTCTGTGATGGTCCCTCCTTCTCCCTGATCCCTGTCCCTTACATGCTGGTTTTCTCCTCTCAGGTCCCATGCTCCCTAGGCAGGTGGGACCTTGTGGGCTTTAGGGACCATCTACATTTTGGTGGCTTGCAGCTCCCTCTCTCCACCTCAGACCTCACTCCTGGGTCGACGCATCTGTCCAACGGCCCGCTGAACATTCCTCCCATACCTCCCCAAGGCGCTCAGCCTTGTCACAGGCAAAAGGAATTCAGAGTCACGCTCTCCCCCAGACAGGGCCCAGCTCCTGTGTCCCCATCTCGTGCACGGGCACAGCCAGCCATATGGCAAACAGCCAAGACAAAGAACCTCGAGGTGTCCTGGCGTCTCCCTTTCCTTACTCCCCACTTTCTATCACATCTCTCCCTTCATCCCCACAGCTACTGCCCGACTCAAATGCATGTTCACCATCACTTTCCTGGACATCACAGCCTCTTCCCAACCGCTCACCCTGCCTCTAGTCTGCCCCTTCCATCCCAGTCACCACATGCGGTCAGAGCAATCTTTCCAATAAGCCAATGTACATGTTACTTGGCCCTCTCACTAGGCCCTGCCTCCTCCAGTCCTTCTGCCAGCTGATGCCTGTTCCTCCCTCAAGACCCATCTCAACTATCGCTTCCCAACTCCAGGCCAGATCAGGTCCCTCTGTGCTCCCACTCCAGGCCCCTTGCTCCAAATCCAGCTTTGCATCATTGTCCTGGAGTCTACAGGGATCCATGTCCCAGCCTGGGAGCTCTCTGTCGGAAGGATGGCCTGGGTCAGATCCTCTCCAGGCCCCAATAGCCAGCCCTACTCAGAGCATGAGCTGAGCTCCTGGGCCTCAGCTGTGAGGCACCTGGCCCCAAGGCAGGCTTCATCCCTCCTTCAGGGTCGAACTCTCCCTCTCCCGGAGGCCCGCAACGTCTCCTCACAGCCAGCATACCCTAGGCCTCCACCACCTTGTGGGGGGCCTGTCAAGTGTAAACAATGGGGCTCATCCCCACTGAGGCTATGCACACACCTGCCAGTGTGCATGCCAACATCCACACATGCCTACTCTCCTTCACACACACGCAAACCTTCCTATGCACACACTGACATACGTGTACCCCTGCTCGTACATTCACATATCCCCACAACCAGAGACAAATGCCCCCAACCTCACGTATGCACCAACAGGCAGAAAGGCCCCCACACCCACAGCAGCTCATGGGTTCCCTGGTGGCTAGTGTCCAGCCTGGGGGCCACAGGCAACGCACCTGATTGATGACATAGATGCCGTAGCGCAGGCGCTGTCGCCTCAGGATAGGGTGCAGATAGTGGAGCCAGTAGCGTAGGTGGTGCTCCCGGTGTCGAAAGGGGATGATGACTGCCACGGTCTGGGCTGGGGTGCAGTCGGGCGGTGTGTAGCGGCCACCCAAGAGCACGCCTGGGTTCTCCCTCTGCACCCGCTCCAGCGGCATGGGGGTGGTGAACTCAATCAGCAGCCGGCCCACTGTAAGCAGAGTGGTGCAGGAGTCAGGCCTTTGTCAAATCCAGGGACACCAGCCCTCTCCCTCAGCCGGGAATTGGGCAAGGGAACCCCAGGGATAGCCCTGGCACCCCCACAGGTCAAGACTCCATTCCCCCAGTCAAACTGGTAAGGCCCTCTGCCCACCCCTAGAGACAGGCCCTGCCCTGCAGGCTCACCAAGACCAGGCGGCGGCGAGTCAGGACAGGGTGGAAGGACGGGAGCCATGGGGCCGGGCCGGGCACTGGAGGCCTCAGGGAGCCCGGAGCTGGGGGCAGTGGCGTTGGGCCGAGAGCAGTTGGTGGTGCTGCTGGCAGCTGGGTGGAGGGCTCGGGCAGGGCCACGGGCACTGAAGCGGCTGAAGAAGGCCAGGTGCTGGGCGTAGACGTCAAAGTAGAGGATGACGGCCACGAGGAAGTGCAGCAGACAGAGAAGGAGCACAGCCTTGCAGACGCGCTCCAGCGTCCGCCCCAGCAGTCTGCTCATCCCGCAGGCGGCCGCCGGCCCGCCCAGTGGGCCCGGGCATCCGGCTGCTGGCCTGAGCAGGGGTAGGAGAGAAAGAGACCCAGCAGGTCAGGGCCGGATGGGCAAGGCTACCCACCCACCTCCTGCCCAGTGCTCACACTCATGGACCCACATCCTCACACTTACCTGCTCACACTTTTTGACATTCATGGACTCACATTCTACCTGCAAATAGACACACAGACACAGTCCCTGGCAACTCACTACTCAAATATCTTTACACACCTGAGTACTAAGCCACATATGCTTACATTTCTTGTCGTCACACACACACACAGACACGCACAGAGCCTCAAGCACCCTCACACTCAGGTACATGGCCCCAGGTATTCCCAGGAACACGGACATGTGACCTCTAATCACACTGGTTTATACCTAAAGATGGAAACATGTTTACCTACAGACCCACATGTGTACCTGTGCCCCAGAGAACAGACACTCCACAGGGCAGCATCTTCAACCCAGGACTTGTGGTCTGCAGAACAGAGACCATTTACGGGTACCTATCATGCAAGAGCACTCTGTATTCATGACTTCATTTAGTCCTCCCTGGAGCATACAGAGCAGTGGTTTGGTCAGACAGATCTCAATGACAAACAGGCCAAGACAGCAGGGACCAGGCTGACAAGTGGCCCCCAACATCCAGGTGGCCCAATATGGACAAGATATTTATGGGATCCCTTCTCTTTAGAGCAAGACGTCAAAATACAGGGTGGGACAGGGGACACCGCTCCCCTAAGACCATAAGGACTAGAATGAACTCTCTGGACTTGCCCAGCACTGCTGGTTCTGATTCCCAGAGGTGGGAACACTTAGGCCCTGGAGACCCGCGCAGCACTTAGCATGGCAGCAAAGGGTCTTGCCTGGGCCCCCGCTCCAGCTGTGGTTCCAACAGAGCAGCAACATTTCTGGAAGCACTTCCAGCAGTGCTTCAGGGAGCAGGGTGGGTCTCACTCAAAGATACATAGTATCACACGACCACACAGACACCCTGGGTCCCAGCTATTGTCACACTCTCAGACACACAGAACTACATATAGAGTCACAGACACACCCGGGCGACAGTAACAGTAATGCACAGAATCACACACTCACAAACAAAGCCGCTGCTCCTGGACTTACACAGCCATTCATACAGGCTCCCGGGCAGCTTGCACCCACGTGCAAACATTCCCACCCCTCCCTCCGGGCAGGGGTTCTGGGTCAGGCTGACGGCCAGGCTGCCGGTCAGGCTGTGAGGTGCGTCTGGGCGGGGCTGGCAGGCAGAGCGGCCTGAACACGTGGCACCAGGGACGCGGGAGGCAGCAAAGACCGGGTGGGTGTGGAGCCGGGGGAGGGGGGGGGGCAGGGACTGGGGGAGTGGATGCGGGACGGGGGCCGAGGCAAAGGGGAAACGTGAGCGGAGCGCCTCCCCGCACCACGAGGCCGGGGCGAGCGAGGACAATAAGGGAGGCTGGCTGGGGGCGGACCAAGGAGCCCTGGGGGAGCCGAGAGATGGGGGTGGGGTGGGGTAACGCCAGGCCAGGGTCCGACGGCCAGCGCCTCTCACCGGGTCCTGGGCGGGGATCTCGGGGCCGCGCTCGGGGCGCCTCTCGCGGGCCCAGGTCTGGAATCTCGGGGCCCTGGGCTGGGGCTGCGCGCGCCCCCCTCTCATCCGGTGCTCGGGGCTCTGCAGGGGGCGCCGATCCGGCTCGGGCTGGGTTCCCGGCTCCGGCGGCTGCGGACGGCTCGGTGCCCCATGGCCCGGCCCCACCGCCTCCCGCCGCCCGGTCAGCGGCCCCCGGGCCGCCTCCCGCCGCCGCCACGGGCCATGGAGCGGAGCCGCCCCGGGGGGGCAGGGCGGGGCCGGGCGGCCGGGCAGACCCACGGAGCCACGGCCCGGCGGACCTCCGCGCCGCCGCCTCCCTCCCGCGCTACGGCGCCTCGGAGGGGCTGGCCCTGCCGGCGCGCGCGCGCGCGCGCCCCCGCGGTCCCCGCCTCCAGCGCGCCCGCACCCGCCGCGCGACGCCGACGCCCGCCCCTGTCGGCTGCCAAGCGCGGCGGAGCGAGGGCACGGAGGTGGCACGGGACCAGGGAGGGGCGGAGGAAATCGGTCAGGCTCATCCAAGGGATTGGGTTCCAGGTGCGACCAGAGGGTGTGGGTGGTCAAACCCATGAGAGAGGAGTGGGGTCAGGATTGGAGCGCGAACTCAGCCACAGAAGGAGGCCTGGAAGTTACACCTCCTGGGACAGGGAGGTTAGAGATTTGTCAGTTCATTAATGGGAGCATGATTAAGGGGCAGCCAGTCAGCGCAGGGGACCCTGAATTGGGCAGGACCCTGTAAAGGTGTGGACAGAAGTGTGTGGCAGGGGCTTCTAGGATAATATGAGGTCAGGTAAGAGAATGGACAGTGGAAGGAGGACCCTGGGATCAAATCAGTTACTGGGAGGGGATGGTGCTGAAATGGGCCGACAAAGGCAAATGAATGGGCTCCAAGTCCCACAGGGACAAGGGGTGATGGATGCCTGAGGGTAGAGACAGTTAAGTAGATGTGGCCAACTTGGGCTTAGCACACAGAGCCCTGAGGACACCGGCCTAGGAAGACCTCTCCCTCCCACCCTTTGGCTGTTTGCACCTGGGCCCATATCCCCAGACTCCCTAGTGCCCTTCATTAAAGATACTCAGGACTAGAGTCCTCAGCCCAGCACCCTTACGTCCCCACCCAGGAGCCAGCTCTGTCAGGAGCAGAGACAGTGCTTATGAGTCAGAAAGTCAGCAAGAGGCTGGCATGAAGTTGAAGCCTATAGGCCTGTTTACGCTTCTTCTGTGAAAGGAGGTGACGAAGGAGGGCAACAGAGGCAGCAATGACCCAGACAAATACCACGTTTATTTCACAAACACTGGGAAGACGGGTTGGGGGTGGAGGGGGGACACGAGTGCACAGCTGCACACGCAGTCATCAGTGGCCCACTCCCCACACTGAGGATCCAGCCAGGCAGCGCCTCCAAGTCAACAGGCAGAAAAGAGTGAGTGCAGGGAGGGCCCTGAACACCAAGCCCCTGAAAGGCTAAGGGGCACAGCTCCAGCTGTCCCGGGAAAACCACCAATAAATAAGAGGGGGGCACGGCCCCGCCTGCACAGGTCATCTAGTCACCCATCTTCACTCTGGAGGTCTGCAAAAGAAGAACAGGGGAAATCAGGCAGGGACAGAGAAATAGATAAGACAGTGACAAATGACAGAAGATCAGACCTAGCAAACCCATGGTGGGATAGACAGACCACAGACGGATGACTGGACCAGGATGGGCATGCTAAACACAGATCAAGAGGAACAGTCAGACAACCACTGACTGAGGCTGTGGGACAGATGGAGAGAAGTGATGTATAGACAGTACCAGTCACCAAGGGTCAACCCAGTCAGGCACCCACAGTCACACTCAGACTCTTAGGCTGATCCTTAGCCATACTCACACACTGACCGACGGATAAGAGACACGCAATTGAAATATGCTGTCCTACCAACAGCACAAATGCACACAAGCCCTCAGAAACACAAACACACCAAGACAGACTGATAGAGACACAGAAGATCCCAACCCGGTCTAGACTACAAACAAAGAGACAAAACAACAGACAAAACAAAGAAAGAGAGACTAAATGGAACATATATAAACACAAAGCAACAGACAAAAAAACAGGACAGTTATCAGTGATACCAGACTGGAGACAAAAATAAACGGAAAGCTTCAAAAGGGAAAAACCAGAAGATGGGAATGAGGTGGCAGAAGCTGCTAGCAGCTCTACAGTTACAGGTGGAGAAGGGAACACTGCAGCACCTCTGGAAGGAGGGTAAGGGTGAACTGGGGACAAGGACAGAGGCTCCCCAAGAGGATTCAGCACCTGAAGGATTGCAACGATGACCCCAAAGAGACCGATGGCGCTGCCAAAGATCTCCACGATGAGAATCTTTACAAAGAGGCTGGGGTTCTGCGCGTCGGCCAGGGCGGCTCCACTGCCCACGATGCCCACACAGACTCCACAGAAGAGGTTTGACAGGCCCACTGTGAGGCCAGCCCCAAACATGGAGTAGCCTGGGGAACGGAAAGGGAGTACTGAGGTCAAGCCAGGCACAAGGGGAGATGAGGACAAGGGCCCAACATAGACTAATTAGGGGCCAATCACCACTCTGACTCTGCACAACAAGCCAGAGTAGGTGAGAGAAAATCAAAATGAAGAGTCTAACTTAGGGTGTGGGAAGAGGGAAGCAGGTGTGAAGCCCCAGCTTTTTGCCTTCACACATCTACCTACCTGCATGGTAGTTTCGATGGCCAATGGCCTGGGGGTCAGTGGCACTGAAAGGCTGAGGGAGGCAGAGAAGTAATCAGAAACCACTCCCTACGCCACTCCTCCTCCTCCTCTCCCTCCCCCGCCATCACTAACAATGTATAGAACTCACTGGAATGGATGCCCACTCCACCCTGGTCCTCCGTACCTCAGCCATGTTGCTAATAACAATTGCCATGATGATGCCGTAGATGGCCACAGCCTCACAGAAGATGATGCTGGTAATGTTAGTGGTAGGCATAAGAGGTGAAGAGGAGAAAGAGATGAGAAAGAAACCAGCCTTCCTCCCCAGAGAGTCCCCACCCACCTTTCCCCCACTGACATCCCACATTAGGAGGTTGGTCAGGAGCAGCATGTTAGGTCACACAGGCAGCTCCAAATGCAGCTGATTCTGACAAACTTCCAAAGGTCCTACACTTACCTGACCAGATTCTTGGTCTTGATCCTGGGGGCCTTCACCCCTCCCCCAATGATGGAAGAGCCAGTAATATAGATGCCCCTGGTGGAAGGATAAGAAACCCATGAGCAGAGCCCAAGCTCGTCACTGCCCCCAGGATGATTAAGGACCCAATGACACCACCTGTTATGACTCAGCCCCACCCACTCCCACCACCCCAAGACTCACCATGCTGCCCCAACCACAGACAGTGAGATAGCTAGGCCAATGCCCAGGTTTGACCACATGAAGGGGGAAGTCTCCGTCAGAAACCTGGTGCGAGACAAGGAGAAAAGCAATTCAGCCCTGGCGTAGACCTGAGCACAAAATCCCCCTCCCCTCCTTCCCCTCCCTGCCCTCCTCCAACGCCAACCCCAGTCTTGCATGCTGAGACAAAACACTTCATATCTCCCACCCGTGGCAGCTGGGGCTGGGGTGGGGTAGGAGCTCAGATCAGAGAAGAGGGAAGGCTGCAGAGAAAAGGCTCCTAGGGGAGTCCTCTCCCTGCCCTCCCTTACCATGCCACATCAAAGCGGAAGCCCAGGTCAAAGATGGTGTAGCAGATTCCTGCAATAGTGAGAAAAAGGGGTTAGGGGCTGCTCTCCAGAGGGAAGCTCCCCAACTTAGACAAGAAGTTGCTGCCCAGCTGATGAGCCACCTCCCGAAAGGCCTGCCTACACCTAAGTCAAGAGAGTCTTCAGGCTGGCTCCCACGGGAAAGCGCAGCTGTGCATACAGATTCCTCTGCTCAGGCCTCCGTTTTCTGCCACTCCCTCAGTGACATCACTTGCCAGACCAAGACCCTCCACGGGCAGCCACCGGCAGGCCTGAATACCCCGGAGAAAAGGAGGAAGCAAGAGCTCTGGCCTGGTCCCACCAGATCCCGCCAGCCCAGTCCAAGCCGCTGTTTACCCAACAAGCTGCGGTGGGGGAGAGGCCTAAGCGACCGGGGAAAGAGGAACTGGAGCAGCCGGCTCGTGACCCAAGCAGGCCGCTCAGGAGCCAGTGAGGGACGACAGCAGTGAGACGGGGGAGGGGGGCGATAGTGACAGAAAGGGACCAGGGCTGCTCTCGCGGCCCCCAACAAGCCCCGCCCGCGCCCCTCGTCTAGCAACTGGAAATCTGGGCCTCCTCGGTCGCGGTCAGAGGCCCCGACGGCCGTGAGGCAAGTCCCGGGTCCCTGGGTCAAGAGCCCACGCTGGGGCGCAGGACTCCCGGGACCCCACGTTCCCCGCGGGGCTCCAGCTGGGCCCGGACGCCGGCCCCGCCCGCAGGACCCGGCCTCACCCACGACGAGCATGCAGGCCCAGAAAGCCACGAAGACCCCGGAGTAGAGCAGCGCTAGGCCCGTCATGGCGGCAACGGCGGCGGGGCGCAGGTCGGAGGGGCCAGAGCTAAAACCTCGTCCCTGCGTCCACCCTCCGCCCCGCAGACTGTCCGCCCGCCCCGCAGCGTCACCTGACTCGCCCACGTGACGAGCCAGCGCCACGTGACCCCACGCCGGGCCCTGCGCCGCGTCGCTGCCCGTGTAGAACCTGAAGACACCGGAACTGCACGCGCTGAGGGTCATGGGGGTTGTAGTCTCGCGCCTCGCGAGCGGCTCAGGTGCCCTTACAAACTCCCTCGACGTCTGGCCGGTCCCTCTCGCGTCCCTCCGAGCCTGCTCCCTCCCAGCCCCGACACTCCGCCGTGCCTCGGCCCACCAAGCCCTGCTTCCCACCCGAGCCTGCTCGCGGGCCTCCCTAGCTTGGCCTCCAAACCAGGGCTGATCCCACGGGCCTCCTCCCTTACGGTCCTACCCAGTTCCGTGAGGTGGGCTGCTGTCTTCCTCACTTTGCTCATACTGTTTCCTAGGCGTGACGCGAGAGGCTTCGTATTCACCCCATTGCCCGGCTAACAACTGCTGGTCCTCAGAAATCATTCTTTCAGGAAACCTTCCCCAACCCAGAGGCAGGGCGGTGCGCATGCTCTGGGCTCCCCCGCCGCCCTGGTGATCCTTAAGAAACTTCAGCCAGATGATGTCACTCTTTAAAATGCCTCAGTGGCCCCCATTTAACTCGGAATAAAAGCCATAGTCCTTACAGTGGCCTACTAGGCCTCTGCTAATGCGGCTGCCCATGGGCCTTACCCGACTTCATCTCCTATTACTCTCCCACTGTCTCTTCTGGCTGCACTGGCCTCCTGGCTGTTCCTTGAACATACCTGCCATACCCCTACTTCCCTGCCCTTGCACTTGTTCCCTCTGCTTCTCCTAATTATCCGTGTGGCTCCCTCCGGACCTTCCTTTCAGACTTTGCTCACCTTCCTGAAGAGGCCTTCCCTGACCATCCTGTTTAATATCGCCATGCCCTCTCCCTTACATTCCTGCCCAGCTTTATATTTCTCCACGGCATGCACTTATCACCATTTGGCTTATGAGGTGTTCTGCTTGTCCACCTCCCCCCACCACGGGAATGTAAGCATCTGAAAGAATTTCTGTTGAGCTCACTGCTGTACTTTCAGCGCCTGGCACACAGTGGGTGCTCAACACATATCTGTATAATACACGATGGTGCCCGTGCCCACCTTGTCCGGGTTACTATGGCCGGTGTATAGATCTGCCTCTATCAGTAGACTGGGCACTCCGGGATGGTAGGGACCACATCTCCCTGTTCTCCCGCTTCTTCAACACGCTGGACAATGCCAAGATGCCCAGATTCTCAGCAAATGTGGGGAATGAAGACGCGACTCACTTCACTTCACTCTTCTGAACCTTCAGGATTCAGCAACTCCACTTTGCTTAAGCACCCACCATACTGGTCATGCCTGTGTTTAAGCATGGTGTACCCTTTGCCCAAATGTCCTTTTCTCCTGATAATTATTATTTTCTCTGAGAGATCACCCCCTCCGGGAAGCCTCTTCTGGCCTGCAGCTGCCCCTGGGGACTTCCCTCCTAACAGAGAGTATTGTTTCACCATGTGGTAATGGCCGATTTAACCGTCTCTCTTCCAAACTACACTGCTGAGGACAGGAATCCAATCAAATACAATTTAGATCTCCACCCGCAGGGCTGGGGCACAACCCGCAGTATTTGATGAACAAAAGGAAACAGAAGGAGAAAAAGTATCTGGTTTATTCAAGTTTCTATGATCTCCCTGAGAAACAAACAGGACTCAGTGTAGACCAGCACTGTCCAACAGAGCTTTCTGCAACAATGGAAATGTCCTATTGCTGCGCTGTCCTCTCATGTGGCTATCTGAGCACTGAAATGTGGTATGACTAAGAAACTGAGTTATTAATCTTAATTAATTCAAATAGCCACATACGTCTGATGGCTACTGTACTGGATGGCATAGGGGTAGACCAGCGGTTCTCAACTAGGAGCAGTTCTGCCCCCACAGGGGACATTTGTCAATGTCTGTAAACATTTTTGGTTATCACTATTGAAGAGGGGTAAGCTACTGGAATCTAGTGAGCAGAAGCCAGAGATGATGCTAAACATCCTACAATGCACAGGACAACCCCTTGCAACAAAGAATTATCGAGCCCAAAATGTCAACAGTGCCAAGGTTGAGAAACCCTGGTCTAGACCATCCAGCACATGCCTTTGACAAGGGCAGACCCTCAAGTGCATAGCAGGAACTGGGATTGGCAAGAGGTCCTACGCTGCTCCCAGAAAGCTTCAGGGAAGACCCAAAGCCGTTCCCCCCATCAGTCAAACAACAGGCATTTACTACCAATATGTGCTAAGCCTTGTGGCCGTGGCAGGATGGACAGGGCTGGATCCTGTCCTCAGTGAGGAGCTACCTGCCCTCCCTCTTTCCAGGCTCCCTCAGTGATCCTGGTGGAGGGTGAGGTCGGTGCAGGGAGCACTTAAGGCCTAGCAGTGATTCTTACGTCCACCTGTGTCTCTGGCCCCACATGCCATCAGCTGCTTCCCTCATCCTCGTAGGCGATGGCAATCCCTCGTCTTCCACTCACAGCTCCTGTCACCGGTGTCTGACCCAGGCAAGGTTGCAGCCCCTGCCAGCTCCGGGAACTAAGGAATGAAGCTGCAGAGGGAGAGGACTGAGAGTGAGTGGCCTGAACCTGGGGGAAGAGTTCAGCTGAGAGTGGAGGCTTGTCATACTGACCGGCAGGGCTGCTCTCCACCAGCTCCAGCTGGGGTCGCGGTGTCAGGGCCAAGCATCCAGGATCATTTGATGGCTTCCATGCAGGTGGGGGTCGGAGTTCCCCAGTAATGAGTGACACATCTGGGGTGTCCCACAGCTCCGAGTCAGGTGGCGGGAGGGGCACATGGAAAGGAGAGCCTGGAATGGGAGGAGATAGAGGATCCATCCTGGCCCCACAACTCCATGCCCCGAGTGTTTCCAGATCAGGCAGGGCCCCACCACTCACCAGGCAATAAGTCCGCATAATGTGTGAGGTGGGGAGCCAGGCCTGGAGGTGGCCAGGCGGGGTTGCAGGCAGCCTCCAGCTCACATGGTGCCAATACAGGCCGGAAGAAGCCGCCAGAAGGCTGCGGGGCTAGGGCACCCAGAGGACAGGCCAACAGCACAAAGACGTCCACCTCAGGGAAGTTGGCAAGCTTGGCAGGTGTGGGCCGCCCCAGGGCCAACACATAGCTACGTTTGCCGGCAGCTTGAGTCAGGTTCCGCAAGTGTGCCAGTGCCTCACGGTGTCGGGCCACACCTAATGTGCCCGCCAGCAGCCCCACCACACGGGCATCTCTGGCCCTCTCTACCAGATAGCGTCTACGTGCTCTTAGCCGCCCAGCTTGGGCACCTTCATCCTGAGTCCAGCCTGTGTCTGGGCAGCAAGAGAAAAAGGGCCGCCCTGGTGCCCAGCCCAAGAGCAGCCGGCTCAGGTCTGGGCAGAGGTCAGGATCAGGGAGGGCCTCACGGCCCCCTACATAGAAGGCACCATACTCTTCTAGACACCTTCCTGGAGCCAGGGGGAAGCGGCGCCCAAAACGCTCCAGGGGCTCAGGATCTGGTTTGAGGGAACCCACTGGCAGGGGAAGAGCCGGGCTGGAGACAAGCAGGTCCAGGTACCTCGGGCGCAGGAGAGTGGCCAAGGCCTCTGGAAGAAGGAGGTAGTGTTAGGGTTGGGGCCTGGCAAAGCTGGAGCACCCTCATCCCCAGGAGACTAAATGTGACCCAAAAGCAAAGGCTGGCGTCAAGTCTACATTGAGAGCTCTATGGGAGTGGAGTGAAATGGGGAAATTAAGGCACAAAGTAGGTGGCCCAGCCGTCCTGCATGCACAGGCAAAACCTCTCACCCAGGGCATGGGCGCAGGCTGGTTCACTCAGCAGCACCACAGGCGCTGTGGGGTCTGGGTTCTGGGCCTCAAAGGCCTTTGCGCAGAGCTCCAAGGCCACAGAACGTTGACCAAAGACGAAGGCCACGGGCAATGGGCGGGCTGGAGGGCTTAAGCAGGCAGGGCCAAAATGTACAAGGGCCTGAGCTCCAGCTTGCTCAGCACCCAGCACATCCACACAGCAGCTGCAGGAGAGAGATCATTAGTGAGACGGGTTCTCATCAGGAGAAGAGTTGCTGTCATCAATGGGAAATGTGGTCACTGAAAAAAATAATGAAGAGAAGACACTGTCATTGAGGGGAGCTAGTTATCAGGAGAGGAGTCATCATCACTGAGGAGAAACAGCCATTGAAAGCAGACACTGTCATAGAGGGGAAACACCGTGAACCCTGGATCCCTAGGCTTACCCCACCTTCAATCCTTAAGCTCAAGTTCACACCTGCCATAGGCTGTGTCCCCCAGAATGAACATCTTCGATCCCGTGGTCTCCTCCAGTCGTGTAGCCACGGCCCTAGCATCTCCCAATAGCTGGTCAGGGAACTGCAAGGCCACCTGTAAGCATAAACTATGGAGTCAGAAACAGTCTCTCCTCCACCGAGGGCCTCTCCAAAGAAAACTTTCCGGGAGTCCCCACCTAACCTTAAAGCCCCTCGACCGAGAGGAGCACCTCCCCCCAAACCTATCCTCATAAAACTTCCCCAAGATCCCGATCCTCCGAGCGACCCATCCCCAGAGAGGTGAGCCACCCCTCCCTAACTTGTCCTCACCCGTTGACACCCCAGGTCGCGGACAAATCCAACGATTCTCTCCAGTTCGTACACTCGATCCAGGTCCGCGAGAGGAGTGAGTAGCCCCGCGGCGCCCGCCTCCCGCTGCAGCGCCGCCTCCGCGGGGCTGCTGAACGTAGACTCCATGAGGCACAGCTTGGGAGGCGGGATGCAGCGGCGACTTCCCTCGGTCTGCTTCAGCCCCCAAGTCCTGAAAGGCGGCCCTCAATGGGCCAGAGGCACGCGGTGGGGGCAGGCGACTGGAGAGTCACAGTCCGCCCGTAACCACAGACCAGCCCTCCGCCGCTCCAAACTCACGTTTCTCCGCTACACAGCGGCCTATGGGGGAGATTACTTCCGGGTTCCTGAGGCGGGGCTGACAGCAATCTTACCAATCTTAAACCAGATGGCTCCCGCCCTCCAATCCTCGTCAAGATGCCCACAGAGAACCAATGGCCGGCCTCAGAACGCCAGGCCAACCGGAAGCGCCCCAGAGGATGGCGCGGAGCTTTGTGGGTGTTGGAGTTCCCGGCGCTCCTCTCCAGGCGCTGGGGGTTTTCGGGGTCAGCACGGCCACCAGCCCTCAGGAATACTGGCTCCCTGAAAATAACTACTCCAGTCTGAGCAGCTCCTGTCCGCCGCACACTGTTAAGCACTTCATGGGCACTCTATCTTCTGGGAGGTAGCGGTGCATAATTTTTAATTCTGGTGCTAAACTGCCTGGCTTTGAATATTGTGCTCTGCCACTTTACTTACTGAGGATCTTAGGAAAGTTACTCTACATCTCTATGGCTGTTTCCTCATCTGCAGAATGGGGGTTGTAAATAGTACTCCCGACAGGATTGTGGGTCAAATTAATTTAGCTATAAAACTTTTCAAAGTAGTCCTTTGCATACCACATGCACTGAAAGCATTCACTATTATTCTCACAGCTGTCTATCAGGCAAACATTGAGCACTTACTGTTCACCAGGAACTGCATTCCTAGAGTTTAAAATCTTTTGGAGTAAGAATTGTCCCATTTTACAGATGAGGACACTGAGGTTCTAAGACTTCTAACTAGAACCTGTCTAATCACTGGCATGATCAGTATCAAGCCCAGGCCAGATTTCAGAAGCTAGGCTTTGGACCCCTCATCCTCCTAGCTTATACATGCTATATTTGGTCATGTGGGAAGGAGGAGGAAGACACCTGGATGCCATGTAGCAGGAGAATAAGGACTGAAAGTATGTGAAACAGCTCCACGTATCCCAGAAGTGAGAAATCCAGAGCAAAATGAGAATGGCACTGAGGAGGGGAAGGGGAAGGGGGACAGAGCGGCCTCAGGGGGCAGCAGATGAGAGGGGCACTGACGCTGACTGGCATAGGAAGAGACTGATGATGAAGAATGGAGGACGCAATTTGTGCAAAGGTTGGGAAAAGAACAGGGGAGGAGTGAGACAAATGTAGGAGTAACCAGTTCTCCTATCACCTTCAAGGAGACTCAAGGCTCACGGATGGGAGTGGGGAGAACCCTGTCCTGCTTGTCAGATCTTACTGAGGAGAAGGCTAAGGGGCCTGAGAACTGGCACGAGTGGAACTATGGCTGAGGAGCCAGAAAGATAGGGAACCCTGCTGATGGAGGAGAGCGACAGCAGGCCTGGAGCTGTCCCTGGTCCTGACCAAGCCCTGACCACAGCGTGCTGGGCAGGTACCACAGAGGTGGGGAGCTATGGGTACAACACTGGGTCCTCCCTTCCTCTTCCTCCAGGGGCTGATTCATCCTCTCACACACGCTCAGCTCCTTTCTAAACCTCTCCTCAACCACGTGCAAGTTTGGGTGTCTCCATAACCCCATACCAGAAAGCTATCCAGGAACTCTAAGCCACACTCCATTTTTTCCCTCCCAAATGGATCCAGCCGAACCTCACTTCCAGCCCAAGGCCCCAAGTCTTCTACCTAGGAAGCCTCCCATTCCCATTAGAAACTAAACCTCCCCTGTGCAACCTTCCCTCACTGGTCCCATTCTCCCAGCTTAGCATGGTAACTATAGACTAGATCAGCCTTTGTTCAGACAGAACAAGGCAAGGCAGAACAAGGGCATAGTACTCACCATTGTTGATTAAATAAATGTATGCATGCATGCATGCACATTGGGACTAATTTAACAGGGATAGGGAGGTTGCTGGGACTACTGCAGTCCCCACCTCGCCCCAAAGGCAATGGCAGTCTTCTGAATGGCTCCAGCCTAGGTGGCTTAGCTATAGCAGTGCCCCTTCCACCCTAGGGGCTAGAGGTTATCCCCACCACTCCCTGCCAAGGCCTAGGCCCAAGCATCCTCCCATCCTTCCCCAGGCCTTCCGGGGTCACCTAGTTAGGTGGTGGTGGCAGCAGAAAGGAAGCAGAGGCCGCAGTGCAGTGGAAGTCCAGGTTTACTCTTTGGGGATAGGGAGGGGTGAGGAGGAGGTGTGGGTGGGACAGAGCGCCCCTCAGTAGTCAGCTGTGTAATCTGTGCCATGCAGCCCCCGGCACAGCAGTGTGAACTCCTTCACCATCTCCTTCACTCGCCTCTTGTTCACTCGCTCGCTGAAGGAGGGAAGGGAAAGCAGGTTAGCACCATCCACTGCCACCACCTCCTCCTCCCGACCCAAGCCCAGGCTATGCTCACCGAAGGATCTGCTGGCTGAAGGTGTCCTTCTGTTCAGGGCTGAGGCGGGCAGAGGGAAAACCCGGTGGCTGCAATGCCTCCTTGATCCACATGCTCAGGAGGCTGAAGCAGTGTTTGTTCAGGGCAAATAGGATGTCAGCAAAGCAGTCCATGAGGCTGCGGGAGGCCTGGCCCCCAATGGCCTGAGGGAAACAGATTCTCAGCACACCAGGGCCTTGCCCCTTCTGCAGCAACATCCCACACCCTCCAGGACAGTTCCTTAGCCAAACCACACATGACAAGTGAGCACTGCTTTTTGAGAGCTAGCTGATCCTCACAGCAGCCCTACCAACTTTCAGCCATTTAATTGAGGAAGGAACAGAGTCAGAGAGCTTAGGGAACCAAAGGCTCAAGCTTCTCAAAAGAGCAGCTGCCTCGGCAGTGAGGCCCACCCCACCCCATCAAACTTCGACTTGCTCCATCTCACCTCCAGCACTGCTATGAGCAGCATACGGCCATCCTCCTGTACCACCTTTCCCACGGGTTCTACTTCCGCACACCGAGGCAGCAGCTCTGTCTACAGAGGATGAAGAGGCCCGTCAGCACCAGCTCCTTCCCCCCTTCCCAGGAGTCAAGACATGCACACCACACCCCTGCCCTTTAGAGTCCTGGGCAGGGCAGGGCTGGGTATAGGAGGGGCAGAGGGTCATGGGTCAGCATGGGACTCACAAAGAAGCCACAGGAGGCCTTGACAGTAGGAGCCTCGGGGAACTTGAGGGCCAGCACAGCTGTGGGAGAGGCAGAGGCAGATCAGATGGGGCCTGAGGATCCTCCTGAAGAGGCTCCAGGCCCACCTCTCCACCTGTCCCGACTTACCACACTGGAACACAGCTTTGACATCCAATCGTTCACACAGGAACAAATCTGGCTTCCGCTTCAGAGCCTGCAGGAGGTGGAGCTGGTAAGCCCAGCCCCAGCCAGCTCCAAGGACCATCCCCCCACTCACCTGCCACCCCAGACCCAACTTCACACACCACAGGTAGAGGCTGCCAAAACCAGCCACCCCGCCATCTCTGGGGGACCCAGACCACCCCCAGAATTCAGTAGGTCCGGAGAGGAGCAGCCAAGGAATGCTATGTCCATGTATGTGTACACGAATGTACAGGTGTATGTGAGAGAGGTTAGGGGGTCATAACACAGAAAGTTGGGTCTCAAGTCTCTCTCTGAGCAAACACCTCCCCCTCTCCCTCCATCAGGGCCAGACCTCCTGCAGGCTCCAGGTAGCCAGCAGTGACTTCACTTAGATTCACAGAGGCAGTTGAGGCCCCCTGGATTTGTTAACAGGGCAGCAGGAAGAAGAGATGGCAGCTGGACATGGGAGTCCAGTCCAGCCGCCCCCTTCCCATGTCCTGCCTGCATTCCTCAGGTATCCTCCAGCTGAGGAGGAGGAAAAGTAGGCTGGGAGCCTTGAAGCCATGGCCCCACCTTTCACCCAAGACACCCTGTGTCCAGGCCCTTCTCAGCCATACCCAGCCCAGGAGCCAATGCTGCCATGTGGGGGGAACGGATGGATTACAAGGGGCAGAGAGCCCACCCCAAGTGGTACCAGGATACAACTGGCACATCCTCAGGTCACAGGAGATGCTCTGCACAGCTCCAGCAGTCATCAAACACTGCTTTTCCCCAGCAGCCCCCCAACGCACACCACACAGACCCCTAACCTCCAGCCTCTCACATACCTTCCAGTCCCCCATGTTCACTCACGTGCAAACACCCCTACACACACATTCACTTGATATGCCCTACTTAGCCTCAAACACACCTCTATCACATCTCTTATACACACACTGTCCCACATTTGCAACATATCCTCACTACATATTCACACCCAAACCCGTCCACATCCCCAAACCATGTCCACACACCCACACCTTCAAACTACCCAGTCCTCTAGCACACGTACTCTCCCAACACACCCATCCACAAATACACACTCAAACCCCCTCACTCCCAAAGATACACTCACACACATCCATCCAGGCTCGGAACACACTCCCCATTCCCCACTCCTCCCTGTGCCCTGCCCCTACAGACTATAAATTCCAAGAGAGTAAGAACTGTGCCTGCTTTTGCTCACCATTATATCCTCAGCACCTAGCAGAATACCAAGCATGTATTATACACTCAAATATTTATGGAATGATTAAGCAAAGAAATACATCATTTACCCCAACCAACAGGACCCCCTAACACACAGAATCCCCATCACACTAACCCCACATTCCCACAGCCCAATGCATATATCTTCTAAAACATACATATGCAAATACCAATACCACAATATATACTGCTATCCTCCATAACACACACTCCCACAGCCCAACACACAAACGCCTCCAACATATATCACCATTCAAAAATCGACCAATGCCTAACACGTACCAACATAGGACATGCATCAATGTGCATGCCCACACTTCAACTACACATTTATCCCAACACTCAACACAATACACATACTACTTACAGCAGTTACGTGATTTCTGTTTCCTTACCAAACCAAACTCAAAACATATAAAGTAAGGTCCAACACACTTAAACACACACCAAACACAAACACATCCTAACACAGTCTCACAATGGAGCCAGCACCCCACCACCCAGCAGCGGCACAACCTGTCCAACAGCCCAACTCTGGGCTCCACTGCACCACATTCATCTCAGCCCCTCCCTTTGGAGCTCCTCCCAGCCT